CAGAAAGGGGTCACAAACACCCCTCCTGCAGGGTTGGGCAGAGACTCCCTGAGGGGCCAGCAGCCAGTCTGCACAGGCAAGGGGATGTGGCCAGCTCCTTCCCAGTGCCCTCCAGTCCCTGTGGAGTCCCTCAGCTTTATTTCCCATCCTGACAGTGTGAGCCACACCTGGCTTCTCAGCGGCAACCTCCACTCTCAGCATAAAGGGTGAGTAATAGCATTCTAAAACAGAAAAAAGAAGATGCATGCCCCCCTCTATGAGATGAAATCCTCTGGGGACAGCCAAAGGGAAAAGAAATGAACATTTACTATATACTTGCCATGCATTTTCATATATGGTCTCAGCAACAGCGAAGGAAGGTAATAATTTCCAATTTTACACACAGGGAAACTGAGGCCCATAAATGCTATGATAGTTATACAATTTCCCAAAGTCACAGCACAAGTGAGTGGTGGGATGTCATTCAAACTCAGGTCTCCTTAATGGGCAAGAAGAAAAAAGTCTTGAAGACCAAGATGGTGATTTGAGAAAGAAGCAGTATGTAGAGGCTCCTTCGCCATTGTGTGAAGAGAGTCCCTGCTCGAGCTTGTAAAGTTCCTCACTGTTTTTGCGTCGATCCGCGGCTCCTGTGGTGTTTGGTGGGATCCCACAATCCGGGTACAACATTTTGGGGGCTCATCCGGGATCCCCCGGACCCTCCAGGACCCGCGCTTCGGAGAACAAACGGCCGTCCTTCAGGTGCTGCACGCCTTTTTCAGCCCAGATGGATGACAGAGAGAAGGATTCTGCGAGGTAGTCGGACATGTGGTGTCTCCTTTGGACCTTTCCCAAACTCTTCTGGTTGGCGGAGGCTCATTAGTCCCATGTTCCTTGCCAGAGCCTCCTGTCGTGAAACAACTCATGCTAATGGTTACTATGGTGCCTGGCCAGGGTGGAATCAGTGCGCTTCCCCTAACACCCTGATCACCGGCACCATCTCTACTAAGCTGGAGAGGAAAGACTCAGCAGGCAGCTGAGAAAAGCTGATCAGTCCTGGTTAGAACAAGGTGAGCAGTCTTTCCCAGAAGACCGCCAACGTCCCGCTGAACTGGCTTTGTCAGAAGGGCACTGTAGCACGAGAATATACTCTATCAAACAATCCAAAGAAAACGTGAAACCAAAAGGCACAGGAAGAATAGGAGCAAGCTACGCCTGCTGCAAAGCAACAAGAATTTGAGAGGCAAAAACGAGAGAGAAGAGACGCTCCAAGGCTCTACAAAAACAAGAAAATGGAAGTGTTCAAGATGCAGAGCCAGAAGACTCAATTGGCCAGCTAAATTCGAATTTACAAATGGAGTATTTTCTAAGAAACTATAGGAAAAGAAAGGTAAAAATTTAGTGTGAAAATATACTTGCTATTGATTATTTTTGTATAGGGACTGTCCCTCCTAACATGTAACTAAATGTGTCACGCAGGGGAATCTGGTCCCTTAAATGGGGCGAAGGCAGGCTGGGTCAGGGGTTGAGCTGTAGGGGTGAAATCAAGGTCTACCCCCTCCCCACCCACCTTGGTGGGGTGTGTGCAGGCATCACACCCAGGATCCCGCTTTTGTTCTCCAGCTGGGAGGTGGTGATTGGGTTTTTGATCTGTTTTCCTAACTTGTGCATCATTTGCCCCAGCTGTTCATGTAGGGTCTTCCTGAAATAGGGACTGAACTCTCTCTTTTTTTTTTCCATTTATTTTTCTTAGTTGGAGGCTAATTACTTTACAACATTGCAGTGGTTTTTGTCATCCTTTGAAATGAATTAGCCATGGATTTACATGTATTCCCCATCCCAGTCCCCCCTCCCACCTCCCTCTCCACCTGATCCCTCTGGGTCTTCCCAGTACACCAGGCCCGAGCACTTGTCTCATGCATCCAACCTGGGCTGGTGATCTGTTTCACCCTAGATAATATACATGTTTCGATGCTGGGGACTGAACTCTTGTCCCCGACATTGGCAGATGGACTCCTAAGCACTGGATCGCTGGGGAAAGCTGTAACTCTATATTAAGAAAGGCCAGATCTGGGTCTCCTGTGGCCCTGGGCCTTAACGGTTCAATCAGGAAGCCTGTGGAAGGTTTCTCTGCCCCTTTCATTCCCCCACTTTATCCTCTAGGCACCCATTTCTCCTCCGGGCTCCACGGGTGTACATCCTGATTGGGATGTGATTTGATTTCAGAAATTGCCTTCTCAAACCATCCAGTGCCACCGCAGCCTCTCTGAATATTCGGCTACTGAGCTGGATTTTCTCCAAACCTGTCTGGTCTCAAGTCCACAATGTGAGCCTGCGGGCCTCCACTTCCCTTCCCATTTCTCTGAGCCAGATGTGCACCCCAGCGCCCTGGCCTCCACCCCCAACAGAGGGCTCCTGTCGACTCCCACCCCCACCCCTGCGCTTTCTTCTGCTGGAGACCCGCTCCCAGGCTAGGGTCCACGGTAGAGACCCTGGGCTGGATATCAGGCAGATCCCGCCAAAGAAGCAGACCATCCACTGCACTGCATTTACTTATATCTTTTATTTTGGAAAAAGTGTAAGGTACAGTTCAGACAAGGCAGAAAAGGAAAGACGACCTCAACAGAAGTAGGCTACCTTTATTCAGGCAAGGAGGGGCTACAGTCAGCCTAACGATCAGGCTGAGCGCCACCGAGAGGGATCCAGGAGGCTTCATACTTATAGGGAGGTTTGTGGAAGCGATAAGGGACACGTTAATCAGGCCGGGTATTTTGAGTATTCTTTTGTAGTTAGAATTCTTTTGTAGTATTCTTTTGTAGGCAGGGGGTGATAAGTCTTCTGGGAGGGTGTATTGGGTAGAAGGTTTCCGGACAGGGAGCGATAAGTCCCAGATAGATGCAACCGGCCTGGAGCATCTGGGCCCAACTAAAGCTCTGTTCATTTTCTCCGAAGTTAGATGATTCAGCAAGGGGCCTTGGAGACTGTTGTTCTCTTTTCTAGGCCCAAAAGACTCCTTCATAACTAGAGATTAAACCATAAAGACTTCAGATCGCTTGTGACCAAACATCGCCTTAAATATAGAAAAGATCTTATTGTGTAAAGAACTCAGGCCCAGCTGGTTCCATGCCACGGAACCTATCTTCTTTAGGGCCCATCCGATGAAACATTTAACTAGGTGTTTAAGCAGCCATTTGAGGAGCGTCAGAGTCTGCTCCATTAGATATACTGTAATTCTGTATAAGACATTCGGTAAACTCTGTAACTCATCTTTTACAAATTCACTTAATTTCTCAGTAAGAACATCAGCAAGTTTATTTTGAAGAGTTTTCATCAGCTCAGTCTTGGTAAAAGAAGGAAATATCTCCATGCCGGAAAAAAAAAAAAAAAAAAAGAAGCAGTATGTAGAAAGCTAAGAAAGAAAGTACAGGCAAAGCTGAGTATAAAAGCAAAACACAAGGTATTTGATTTATTTTTAAAAGCTTGAATTTCTAGAAGAAAGGAATTTATACATGAGATATGTTACATTTCTGGTAGGTTTTCAAAAAAAAAAATAATAGATTCTTCCCCACTGAGTGAATTTATATCCAGCCTGAGTCCAAAGACTTGGTAACCTTGGATGAGCCACTTAATCCTTTGGAAAGAGGATTGGAGACAGACCAGAAATGAGTTGGCAGAAGGAGGAAACTGAAGGCTGCCGATGTGAATGACAAATGCTAGAAATGTGGATGTGGAAGGGCAGAGAGAAACAAGTAGACATCTGGAAAAGGGGGTGACGGCTGATGGCAGCGGGCAAACAGAGAGAGCATTTTAGAGCCCAACCATCTGGGGCCCTACAGACAGGGGAGGAAGCTCAACTATAATCTCTGTGTTGCTAAGAGCTCGTCTGATTCAGCCACTGCCCCAGCAGGGCCTGAAGCCTAGCAAAGAAGAAATTCAATCTTGTGCTCAAATGGACAAGGGAGAATTCTAACAGCCTTATAAATGGATAGTGTCCAGGAGCCCACACAATGCTGGCACAGAGGGAAAGATCAATATCTGTTTATCAGATGAGTTAATAAATCAGGATATCTAGTTCCTGACCCACCTCTGGTTCTCCATCAGTCTAAAGAAAACAATTTAACCTGCCAGGATCTAATTTTCATCAAATCTAAACTGAAGAGCTTATACTGGATAATCTCCAGCCTCAGGTACTCTATGGCTGCAAGGCTGAGAATGAGAACTCCCTGGCCAAAGCATACCCTGTCAAAGAGGAGAGTGGGATAATGCCAACAAACCATGGAGGCCATGGGTGCCAGCCCAGGGGTCAAGAATCCTCTTTGAGGAAAAGGCAGTGAGTAACCACTGGGCTGGAACACAGATGATAGTGTTTATCCAGAAAATTTATCCAGTCTCTCTCTCACATGCTTTCTCTTTCTCTCTCTCATACACACTTACACACACGCATACGCATACAGTCCCTCTCATCTCCCAGATCCCCCTTACCAGCATGGACAATGTTTCAGCCAGATGTGTCAGTTCAGGAAGTTCTAATCCCTGGCCTCCCACAGCTCCTCAGACTCCCATGCATGTGGCCCTGTGTTATTTCAAATGTGAGATCCATTCCCCATCTTTCCTCCTGCATCCCATCCTCCATCCATGCCTACCACTCATGAAGCCTCCTGCAGTGCCCGGGGGGCATGGACACAGACTCCAACCTCAAAGCCCTTCTCCAGCACTGACTCCCCAGATGCATTTGAGTAGTCATTTAACCACTGTGACTCCAGTTCCTCATCTGTGAAATTAGGAGATAATGTTTACCCAAAGGCTTTTTGCAAAAATTAAAGAAGAGAGTGAACATAAAAACCCTCACACTGCAATAGGGGTATTGAAATAGGGGAGACAGATGGAGTCAACTCCTCCAAATTCAACAAGGACAAGTGGGGATTCACAACCAACTAACAGAGTAAGGGGTCAGTGTTTGGAAAATTACTAAGAGAAGACATCAGTGTTAGGGCGATTCTTGCTAGGCTGACTTAACAGGATTCATGATGAAGGCCGGCCAGGATAGTCAGGTTCCAAAGGTGAGAGATGAGAAATTTGATTATATATCGATGGTGATCAGTTATCAAGGGTGGAAGAGTCTCTCTAAACTGACTTAGAAAGATTCTTAATAAAACTGGCTTGGCAAGAACAGACATGGAAGCCCAAGGTTAAAGCCTAATCAAAAAGAGAGTTCAGAGGACCCTAACAAATGGTTAACCCAAGGAGAGAATCTTGGTAAGCTGCCACAATCATCTAATTTACAACTGTCAAGCCAGACTCTGGGCCTCAGTGTTTCAAGTCCTCAAAATAACCCTAGAAGGAGGATCCAGAGTCCATCTCTATTTCACTGATGAGAAAATAGGGGAATAAGAGCCTAAAGTCAGACTGTCGGTGAATGACAGAGCTGGGATTCGAACCCAGAAAGTCTGAATCCAAAGCCCATAGCCTTCTTTACCCACTAGATGACACAGCTTCCCATCTGGTTTATCTTTGATGGATTTCATGCTTAATTACTGTCTCCACAAATTTGGGGCAGAGAGACCCAAAGAGATAGGTATCTTATGCCATCCTGCTTTACAATGGGCCACTCCTTCTCAGCCCAGTCATTGCTCTGGGGCCTAGAAAGAGAAGCCAGTGTAATGGATACTCCATAATGTGATTTGACCAACAACAACATTGGTACACAGAAGAAGAAACCCATAGCAGATTTCTGCATTAGTTTCTATTTCTGTTGTGTTCTGCTTTTGTTTGATAATAAGGGGGAGGAGACTGGGCCTGAACACTCATCTGCGGCAAGAATTTTTTATCACCAGGGCTTGGAAAACAAAATGAGTTTTAATTTCTTCCAATTTTTATTTCATCTTTGCCAGTGGACATCTGTGCTCATGGGCTTGGAAGCCATAACGCACGGCTAACACTTTCCAATAATTTTCTTTTGATAATTCCTCTAACAGTGTGAAGAAAAGGGCCTGAACATGGATTTAACATCACATGACAGTACTTTCCCAATTCTATGTGGCAAATTGATACTTTTCTTTTTCTACCAAGATAATAAGGGGAGGAGGGAATGATTTATCAGAAGCAAAAAGCATTGGACTAGGCATCAGAAAAGTCGGGCTCTCATCCAGGCTCTGCTACCTACACTTGAGCTGTGTGACCTGGGGTGGGTAACTTCACCTCTCTGGGCGTGTTTCAACATTGAGGAGTAAGATGCTTATGCTATCTGATCTCCAAGTCCCTGCCAGCTCTGACATTTCCTGCATCAGTGATACAATACAGTGCTAGGAGACCTTCACAGCATCAGTATTTTGGCTTTGGACCTAGTCTGAGTTAACCTGGCTTGCTGGCTAACATAGGGGAAAATCCAAAATTAATTGTGTACATTTATGAGCATATAAAGGGCAACATTTACATCAAGGATCCCACATGATATAGAGGGCATCAGAGTGAGCACATAAACAAGAGGGGATAGTGGAAACAGTGGTGAACAGTGTCTCTAAAGCTGGCAACAGGGAAAATGCAGGCCCAATGTGACCAAAGTCTGAGTTTTCAAAAGATAGAAGACTAGATTCATATGTGAGACCTTAATTTTTTAAATACCACTGGAGCCAGAGAAAACATATTCACAATCCCAGTTAGCAAATACTGGGTCATGTGTGGGATTCCCTGGTAGCTCAGCTGGTAAAGAATCCACCTGCAATTCAGGAGACCCTGGTTCAATTCCTGGGTCAGGAAGTTCCCCTGGAAAAGGGATAGACTACCCACTCCAGTATTCTTGGGCTTCCCTGATGGCTTAGATGGTAAAGAATCTGCCTGCAATGCAGGAGACCTGGGTTGGATCCCTGGGTTGGGAAGATCCCCTGGAGGAGGGCATGGCAGCCCACTCCAATATTCTTGCCTGGAGAATCCCTGTGGACAGAGGAGCCTGGCAGGATACAGTTCATGGGGTTGCAAAGAGTCGGACACGACAGAGCAACTAAGCGCAGCACAGCATGGGTCATGTGTTAGCTCCCCACACCCTTCTCTTGGCTCTCAGAGCTCCAAGTATGAAAAGCTTTCAATTCTGTTTACTCATCTGTCTCCTTTTTGGGCCTAGAACATCTTGAGTGTCCCTGATTCTATGTCAATCTTGAGCAGTACATTGTGAACAGTTAATAAAATAAAGGAATCTTATTACTTACAACTAAAACCTCACAAAAGATCACAGACTGGGTGGCTTAAATAAGAGAAATGTATTTTCTAACAGTTCTGGAGGCTGGAAAGTCTAAGATCAGGATTTTTTCTGGACTCATTTCTAATGAGGCCTCTCTTCCTGGGTTGCAGATGGCCCTTCTTCACGTGGCCCTTCCAAGGTATGTGAGTGCAGAGAGCGAGCTCTCTGGGGTCTCTTTTACAAGGCAATAAACCTATCGGGTCAAGCCTCCACCACCCTTATGACCTCTTATAAACTTAACTACTCCGTTGGAGGCCCCATCTCCAAATACAGTCACACTGGGTGTTGGGGCCTCAGCATATTAATTTGGCAGGCACACAAACCTTCAGTCCAGGGGGGAAATTCCCTGGCACCCAGTGGTTAGGACTATGCACTTTCACTGATAAGGGCCGGGGCTCAATCCCTGGTCATGGAACTAAGATACCACAAACCATTTGGGGTGGCCAAAACAAAATTTAATTAAAATAAAAATAAAAAGAAATCATTTATTCCATCACAGTCACCTAATTCCAACCCACAGGAATTTACTAAGGAAAGAAAGTACAGGACACTGAGTCCGAGGGCAAGAGGGTCAAGAGTTGCAGAGGCCCTCAGCCAGGCATGCCTGAGCCCCTCTTCTTTCCCATGGCCTGCATTTCCTCAAGCCTTGCTGATGCGCCTTGCCCCTCATTACCCACTGAGCTGAGCAACAGGCTCTCCCAGGACCATGGCCTTGGGCTTTCCTACAAGCCGATATACATACAACACCAACTGGGCCACCTCCAGCATCCACATAGCCATGGAGGCATCATTATCCTTACTTTTCCTAACAAGAAAACACAGGCCCAAGCAGGTGGAATAATGTGTCCAGTGAGTAGCAGGGCCCAGATTCAAACTCCAGCCTGGTTGGCAACAAGGCCTTTGCCCCACCCCCTAAGCATCACTGCTTTCCTGCCATGTACCTCTCCACTAACTATCCTGTCCCCAACCAAGAACTTTCAGATTTCAAAGCCAACACCTGAACCACAAACTGATGTTTACCAAGAGTCTATCCTCATATTCCCCAGACATCTCGCACCCCATCTGATCATCACTTTCCCTCAAAGCCAGTCTTAGCATGCTACAAGTAGCAAATGATCCAGGGTGAGTGGCTTCTAGGGTCCCAGCAAGGCCACCTCACTCAGAGGTGCTTTCTTAAACACTCTGCTTTCTGATGATTGAATTTTTAATTTCCTAAGTCATGAAATTAAAAGATGCTTACTATTTGGAAGGAAAGTTATGACCAACCTAGACAGCATATTAAAAAGCAGAGACATTACTTTGCCAACAAAGGTCCATCTGGTCAAGGCTATGGTTTTTCCAGTAGTCATGTATGGATGTGAGAGTTGGACTATAAGAAAGCTGAGCACCAAAGAATTGATGCTTTTGAACTGTGGTGTTGGAGAAGACTCTTGAGAGTCCCTTGGACTGCAGAGAGATCCAACCAGTCCATTCTAAAAGAGATCAGTCCTGGGTGTTCATTGGAAGGACTGATGTTGAAGCTGAAACTCCAATACTTTGGCCACCTGATGAGAAGAGCTAACTCATTTGAAAAGACCCTGATCCTGGGAAGGATTGAGGGCAGGAGGAGAAGGGGATGACAGAGGATGAGATGGTTGGATGGCATCACTGACTCAACGGACATGAGTCTGAGCAAGCTCTGAAAGTTGGTGATGGACAGGGAAGCCTGGTGTGCTGCAGTCCATGTGGTCGCAAAGAGTCGGACATGACTGAGCAACTGAACTGAACTGCTCAACTTTGATTGTAGTAAAATTCAAATTTTAAAATGCCTATATTTTCTTGTACTTCTTTATTTTACAGTTTCTATATTTTCTATCTATAAATGATCTCTTGGAAGCTTTTCAGAAATACACATTCTAAAATCCATCCTGAAAAATTCTGCTATAAGCAGACCGCAGTGGAGGCAGGAAATCTAGATATTTTTAACTCTCCCTTGGTGATTCTATTACTTTCCTATGATTGGCAGTATTGCTCAAGCCATTAATGTGGCAGCCCCTATCAAAATGGAAGCAACTTGGGGTAATGACCACCTTATTATTAATTGATGCCTTTAAGAATAATTTACCTGTTTTCTAAAAGCAGATTCCTGACGGGATTGGGAGAGAGCTCAACCTGAAGCTATGTGTATGCCCATCACTCTAGAAAGCTACAAGGGGTTCAAATCCTGACTCCTCTATTTGTGTGTCCTTGGGCAAGTGACTTACCTTTTCTGGGCCTCCTTTCTCCTCCTCGGTAAGGCTGGGGTGATTATAATTTCTATTGTGTGATACGAATACTGACTTAACTTTCAGGGTCAAACCAAAGATAAAGATACAGATAAAAATATTTAATTCTAAACCTGGCACATATCCAAACAGGTCTTGCAGCTCCAAGTCAAAATAAATAAATAAATAGGCAGATCTAAATAGACATTTCTCCAAAGGAGACATATAGATGGCCAAAAAACCCATGAAAAGATGCTAAACATCACTAATTATCAGAGAAATGCAAAGCAAAACTACAACAAGATATCACCTCACCTGGTCAGAAGGGCCCTTATCAAAAAAAATCTACAGACAATAAATGCTGGAGAGCGTGTGGAGAAAAGGGAACACTTCTACACTGTTGGTGAGATGGTCAACAAAATCATAGGGGCCAGAGTGAGTCTAGAAGTCAGGTATCAGAGTTCGAACATGTGGGAGGCAGGTGTAGTGCAGCTGATGCTCTCCCATGCTCACTAAAACCCCCACAAAAACATCTTCAGTCCATTTACAATGCTACCTCCCAGCTAGTTTAAGACTCAAATCT